AAGGGGTCAACAGTGTGTTCCCGTAGCTTCTCGCCTCGAGGAACGTGTTAGCACCAAAGGGAGTTGTGCACGGGTTGACGTTCTTGATGATGAGTCAACTCCACTTGGTGAAGACACTCCTAGGCCTCTATGCAAGTTCTTCACACAGGAAGGCTTACTAGTGGCTTATGGTACTGTGCATACATTGGGGCCACTTATACACGGGGTAGAAATGATGGATTCCTTTGTTCGTGTTGTGGTTGAACGGGTGCAAGTTTCGAAGCTCCTGTTCTCGTTCCATCCGACGAGGTTAGAACGGTGGGGAGGCTCCCGATCATTTCATTCGATGGCCTAGAGCACTTATCCAGTTTCCTACTGATCGGGTATTATATGTTTTCTTTAATAATTTCATACATGTTTATAATTTTATTATTTTATCATAAATTTTAATTTAATTCCTTGATGTGTATAGGACATTTGTGCCCAGCAGCAAGGAAAGGAGAAGGGGAAGGAGAAAGTTCAAGAGGAACCTGGACTCGGATCCGATACAAAGGTTATGCCTCTTAGCTTATAGGCTAGGAAAGCATATACCTTTACAGATCCAGATGGACCCTCATGTGATTGGGAATCTGCAGCCCATCACGTTGTACTTGAGTCAGAAGGACATTATGGATGTTGTTTTGAGTCAAGACATGATTTGCGTCACAATTCTCCAAGTCTGGTTAATGTAAGTCTTATGTTTTTATTTAAGTCAATTGGTTGTATGCCCTATTAGACACCAACTTGTCTAAAATGCAATTAACATGATATTTTCAATTTCTAGTTACCTCAACAAAGTTGTTGTGGAAAAGGGAGTAGAAGATGTCTATGGATTCATTGATCCTGTCCACATTCGAGTTTGGGGAACAAACCAAATACTATTCAAGCATACATTCAAAAGAGATTTTGTGAAGGATCAAAGGAAGTTTATCTCGCACCATATCATTATGGGTAAGTTTTTTTAAATTACTTACTCTCAAACTTTGAATCTCTTAAGAATTGCTAATTGAGCGACATTTTTTGTAGGTCTCACTGGCAACTGCTTATCCTTTGTCCTAAACGTAATGAGGCTATTTTTTTATGCTCTTTATGGAATAAACCCAAAAAGGAAATTAAACAGATTATTGATGTGTAAGTATACTAACACCCTTATATATGAATCTGTCTTTGTGACTAAATACTCTAGGTCCGGTTCATGACAGATTTAATAACTGTAAAGATCTGTGCTTCACTCCTTTGAGCTAAATAGTATACTGATTTTACTTTTTATATTCATAAGTAAGTACTTCATAATAATTGTGCTTCATTCCCAAATCCCGATCCAGCACAACATTCAATTGTTTAAGATGATGTGTAAGTATACTAACACCCTTGTATAATATTTCATTCATTTCATTTTAAGTTCCACATGTCTTAATATGAAGTATTTTTCATTTAATCTTTTATAGGTGTATAGAAGCATGCTCGGTCATGGAGGGTAAGCCTAAAAAGAAACCCACATGGATACTTCCACGTGTAAGGACGTTATCTTTCAAATTCTTAACTTTAATTTACTGATTTTCCGTATTTAATGTTTTTTTTCTTATAGTGTAATAAGCAAAAGGAAGTTGGGAGTGCGGATATTATGTGATGAGACATATGTTAACAATCATCACGACAAATATCACAGATTCATGGAATTTGGTATGTGTTATGACTATATCTATGTCATTGACATATATTTGCCTACTTGTGCTTATCTCGAAATGTTTTTTTTTGTTTGTAGATATTTGATGATGGTCATCCAATAAATGAAGCAGAGATTGATGACATTAGACGACTTTGGGCAGATTTTGTTATTAAGAACTATAGTCGTGATTGAATACTTAATTGTGAAACATTAGGACTATTTTCTTTGTATATATAAACTTAGAATACAATACATGTTCATTGTTTGTTGATACAATACAATGTAGATATATAATATATATTATGTTTACTTGTGTGTTGATGCATGTCCTTTATAGATTAACATTCTGAGTAGTCTGTAAATATTTAAAATGTTGTACAGGTTCTGAAAAATCAAAAACTAAAATTTGTATTTAAAAAATATATATGACTTTCCACATCGGTTATGGCCTAGAACCGATGTAGAAAGTCATTTTTAATACTTTCCACATCGGTTCTAGGCCATAACCGATGTAGAAAGTCTGATTTTTCACATCGGTTATGACTAGAACCGATGTGGAAAGTCAGACTTTCCACATCGGTTATGGTAAGACCCGATGTGGAAAGTCAGACTTTCTACATCGGTTCTTAACCGATGTTAAAACTCACCAACTTTCTACATCAGTTGTATCTACATCGGTTGTAGAACCGATCGATGTAGAAAGCTGCTAAGAACCGATGTTAAAGGTGTTTTCTAGCCTGATTTTGGAATGGTGGTCACAATAACATCACTATCTTTGGCTTGGAAGTGCTTCTAGAAATCGATTATTGCTTGGATTTCCATTGCCTGACACCAAAAACCTTGGAATAGAAACAGATGACGTGTTCTCCAACCTTTCTCCCCTAGGGAGAGAGAATCAACTCCTTGCATTCTTGAGCTAGCTTGTCTTCTTCTTCGATTTCTATTTCATCCCCTTTCCCCAACTCATTTATTTCTTCAGAGAAATACGTGACTTTTGTTTGAGCCATGAGAGTGGAATTGATTGACGCGATCATTTTTGTCAGAGACATATTATTTATAATATCCATTGGTGGTGGTAGATAAGACAAAAATAATGTGAAAATCATTTGGTTCACGTATATGAAACCAATGACGATAAGATATTTGAAGATAATTAAAATTTATTATTATTATGGATAGTGCTCTTTATAATATATATTTTCTAAATATTATTCTCACATTCTATATCCTTTATTTTTTTTAGTGAATCTCTCACATTTTTTAGTACTTATCCGTTAACATTCATAATTTATTCATGATGTCTCACATTTTCCGGATGTGTCAAAAATAGATAGGAATTTTCCTTTTTCCATGGGTTTATTGATAAAATAACATTCTTATAAATAAACATGTTAAATAAAAATTATTAATAAAAACCAGATATCCTCAAATATAGATCCATATCTATTATCCTTTTAACAAATGATAATTAAAATCCACGTATTTATTACCAACGAAATATTAAAATATTCATTTTATGTATACTTAAATCTGTATATTTTAAATTTATTAATTATAATAACTGTTTTTAAAAGTCAATATTTTTAAAAATCAAAACAATGATTGTTGACAAATGCTCGTGGCCTTACCTCGAGTTGTAAAAAACTATTCAAAGAAGATTCAATTACGGTTTTGTTGAGGGCAATAATGTCAAACACTATTAGAAATTCCCATATGAATATTTTTTGTAAATTTTTTATAAAAATTACAAGAAATAATTTCATACAAATTAAAATTATATTTTAATTTTTTTTTACAGAAAATAAGCAACTCTTTTTAGTAGTGAAGGAGCTAGAAATACTTTAGTTAATAATAACAAATTATTAATAATGACATGGTAGCATTCACCCTATTAAACCCAAATTTAATCATATTTGTGATTCTGTTAGTAACTAATTAAAAACATTACGCGAAGAAACTCTTTTTCTAGAAGGAATTAATTTGATAATAATAATAATAATAATAAAATCTGTATAAACATTTACCAGTGGTTTGAACCCTTGTTAAAACCATGACTTATTACGTGAACATTTTTCCAATTAATATAAAAGGTAAAATGGTTTATGTAAAAGTCTAATATACAATTGTGAGCACGTTCTTAAAGCAAAATCCGAGACATGGCTGAAAGAAATGAAAGATGCAGGAAAAAAATATATACAAATCCCACTTTATTTAGCTAAAACAAAGATGACACGATACAACACATTGGTTCCTATGTGAATATTATTACCTAGTAATTTAGTGATTGATTTGAAAGGACAAACCTGTTCCAGTTAATTTTTCTTCAACAATTTTAGACAATTTTTCTATCATAGAAGGAGAAAAGTAATTTATCCAATCTCCTATTTCACCCTTTCGAAAAAAATATCTTTTATCTACAACATTGTCAAAATATCCCATCTTATTCACTTTCAAATACTTCATCTTCTCAAAGCTGCAAAGTTTGATTATGCTTTTAATATGTATGTTATTCTCTCCTTCTTCACCAATAGGACAACCCAAGAATTCAATAATTCTTTTCACATGAAATTTAGTATCCTCTTTAAGATCCTCATATTTCAAGAACATTACTTTGTGTGGTCTAGCTATACTCTCCTTCCGGTAACCTAACATATGACTCCACCATGGGCCAAACGCCATAATACCATCGCAAAACTTCTCAAATGCTTTCTCCATTGGTAACGTAGGTAAAGACACTGACTTGGCTTTAGGAAAGAACTCCCAAGCTGAAACAAAAATGTCAAATGGATTCCTACAGATATAAATTATCTTACAGTTTGATTCTTTAAAGGACTTGGGTAATGAAAGGAATGGTGTGTGGATACCCAAAAGCCTTGGCTCACTAATGTTGGATAAGTGAAGAATTTGGTGATGGATATCACGAGACAGAGTCAATTCAAGGAAAGGCACGAGTTCATGAGGACTGGAAGTGAGTAATGGATGGTTATCGAAAGAGGGACAACGTTGATGGTTCAATATGGCAAAAGTAAGAGCTTTCAACCAAGTAGTACCTGATTTTGGAAAGCTGACAATAAAAACATCATTATCTTTAGCTTGGAAATATTTTTGAAAATTGTATGCTCCTTGAATACATAATATGATGGGCACCAGAAGTCTTGAAACAGATGGAGAGAGGGGGCTCCACCCAAACCTATCTCTTGAGGAAGGGAGCGAATAAGCTCATTTTCTTCATTTGCATGTTGGTCACTTGCCAAAGCCATGAGAGTAGGTAGAATATGAATTACGCTTATGAATAATAGAATCGGATGAAAATATGGCTTGGCTTAAGATAGCTTATATAGAAGTAATTAGTGGTCCATGTTCATTAGAAGAATCAAATCATGAAATATTTGAATACAAGGTGATGGACATCAAAAATCTTGAAATTAATAGACTTAGATTGGGTTTGCAGCCAAACAGAAGGGTGCAACTTATGCATTGTTAGGTCAAACTTTTGTAAAATAGAAATTGGGACAATCCAATTTAATCATGGTAACATCATCATCCTATCTCTCATCTTCAAAGTACACCAAAATATTTCTAAATGAAATGTTGATATTAATTATTGGGAAGGATCATTGATAACAACATTTTGATCGTACAAAATACTGATAAAAATTAATAAATAAGTTGTTAAACTAATGCAATATAGTTAATCAATGTCGAAGATAGGATTATATTTCAAGTTTGGATGGTCTCTCCAACTATAATTATATGTGGTCAAGTATGGGTTGTAATCCTGTTATGGGCTATATGAATTTAATTGCCTGTAATGTTATTGTTCAGGGAATATATCACCCACTGCTTCCCTAATTAAGCTTGGTGTTTCCTAAAGTTGAAGACATACATAAGTGGGATGATCTACGAAGATGCATATCCTACATACATATTGTTGTTGTTGTTGAAATGTGTGTTGGTTTATGGTCTATTGTCGTACCAAAGATGTTAATTCGTTCAATGTTCTTTCAAAGTTCATATCTTCAAAATCACTTGTTTACTAGAATGACAATGGTAGATTGTGAACAAGTACACCAAGTAGGTTCCCAAAAAAGAGAGGTGAGTTACTAATTGACACACTTAAGCGATGACGGATCTTGACCATTGATCTTGGAGAGGCCAAATAATATATTATTAATAAATAATAAATAAATATAAAATAAAGTAAGAAGATGAAAGAGTGAAAGGATAAAATTGTAAATATATACTTAAATATATTAAATGATCATTAAGTTTGAGGGGGACAAAATCATAAATTATATGAGAGTTACAAAACTGAGGAGGGGCTACGAGGATAAAATTGTAACTATATAAGTAAATATATTAAATGTTCATTAAGTTTGGGGGCCAAAATCATAAATTACATGGGAGTTACAAAACTTTGGGGGAGGGGAGGGGTCACGACCTCTTTCAGCTCCCAAGAAGATCGTCACTGCGCTTATGTACCAAGTCTTTCCTACCCAGAACCCTCTTACACATGCACTCTCACACTACCAAGTTATTTCTTGCAAAGCCTATTTTTAGCCTTGTTGTAAGCCATGTTATTGTTAGCATTTTATCCGAAGCTAGTTTCTTTAAGTGCCGCTCGGATAATTGAACTTGTGCTCTTGAGCTTTTGTCCTTATGATCCAACATGGTGTGTTTTTTATTTTCGTTCATCTAGCTTTTTTCATATGTATTTGGGTTGAAGTACCCCCTTGTACTTCTATTAATTTTATTCTTTGTTGCCGATAAAAAAAAAAGTTATTTCTTGTAAGGATGACTTATCCAGAATTTCCTGTGAGAAGGGTTAGTGAGTATAAACTTTTTTTTATTTTTGAATTTTTTATTTTGAATTTTTTTTAGTAAAGTAGAAAAAAGAGAGAATGATATTAGACAATGTTACGCAACATAATTGTGTCCCCAACAACGGTGCCATTTGATAATAGTGTTTTGGTCGCACAAAATAGTGATAAAAAAATAAACAAGTTGCTAAACTAATGCAGTATAGTTAACCCGTGTCGAATTTCACAAGGATACAATTATAGGAACATACTCGTTATCACATATAATTCTCTCTAAAACAATAAATAACAGTAAATAGGGGATGAATGGAAGAGTGAAAAAGAAATAAATTGATGCAAAATAATAAAAATAAAAATTAAATTACTATAGAATATTAACGACAATTAAAATTAAATGGAAACAGAATTTAAATAATTAAATTTATAAAATTAAAATAAAGTAATTTTAATTAAAAGTGCAAAAATCAAGAATTTCTTTGAAATAAAATAGTGCAATAATTAAATTTAAAATTTTTGAAAGCGATAACTCTAAAACTAAATTGCAAATTAGAATTGAAAATTAGACTAATTGAAAATGGAAATTATGCAATATCTGAAATAAAAATTCTAAACAATTAAATAACAGAAATTAAAATGAGCACTGAATAAATAAAATAACTAGAATAAGATAAACTATAAAATTCAATAGAAATTGTAAATTAAATAAAAGCGAACAAACTAGAAGTACAGATAGCAATAGATGAACTCGCCTAACTAATTCAAAGGGGTGATGCTGATGCTGCTTATAATATTTTGGCTGAGTTTGAGTTTGTATTGATTTTACACATGATGAAAGAAATTATGAGAATTACTGATTGTCTTTGTCAAGCTTTACATAAACAATCTCAGGATATGCATAATGTTATGCAGTTAGTCTATTCGATTAAAATTTTGATTCAAAAATTAAGAGAGGAGGGTTGGCAAGATTTGTTGAAAGATGTGATATTGTTTTGTGAGCAACATGACATTGATATTCCTAATTTTAATTCTACCTATGTAGCACATCATGGTCGTTCTCGACATAAAAAAGATTGTATTACAGTAGAACATCATTTTTGGGTAAACATATTTTTTATTACAGTGGATAAATAATTACAAGAATTAAATGATAGGTTTAGTGAGAAAACAATGGAAATTTTAACTTTAAGCAATGTTTTAATTCCAAATGATGTTTATAAAAATTTTAACATTGATCATATATGCATACTTGTGAACAAATTTTATCCTTTGGATTTTAGTGAATAAGAAAAGATTAATTTAAAATTTCAACTTCATTTTATACTTGATGCTCCTAACTATCCAGATTTGAAGAATTTGTCTACCATTCTTGAATCATGTCAATCTTTGACAAAAACAGGTAAGTCAGGTACATTTTACTTAATAAATTGTTTAATTCATCTTATTTTAAGTCTTCTTGTTTCTACATCTACAACTCGAGAGATTATTTTCTCGCAATGAAGATTATCAAAACATGACTGCAAAATAGACTGGAAGATGAAATTCTTGCAGATAATATGATCATTTATATTAAGAAAGAAATAGCTGAAAACTTTAGTTTTGATTCCATTATTGATGAATTCAAACATTTAAAAGAACGAATGACATAATTTTAAATAAATATCTTATTTTTATTTATTATTATATAATTTTTTTAATAATTGGTCCCCCAAACTTATCGGTCAAGATCCGTCAACGAGCTGGAAGGAAATAACAAAGATAGAAAAAGTGAAATAATTTTTAGGTTGTTTGATAAAGATGAAAATAAATGAAAAAAAGAAATTATTATTTTATTGTATAAAAAATAAAGAAAAAAAATGCATGTAAAATTATATATTGAAAATCTAATTTAAAGATATGATAAAATAAATTATAATATATAAGTGAAATATAAATCTTATTTTAAAAATTGATTTTGTCCAAAAATTAGATCTATATATATTTTTTAATATGATATGAGAATTTATTTTAAATATTTTTTAATACGATATGAAAATTTATTTTAAATATGTTTGTTAACATTACTATATTACTGATTGTTATAATAAAGTTATATAACCTATAAAGCTCTTAAAACATAGCAAATTTCTCGAAGATCATTCCTATTTTATAGTAAAGGCATAATGTTAGAATTGTTAATTAAATTAATTTTATTATGTGACTACAATGATGGGTCCAAATGTGATTTAACAAAATATAAAGAAATTATTATAAAATAATGATAAAATAAAATAAAAATTTATGATAATCATCTTGATAATGCTAGTTTACTGAACCCTAATTATAAGTTTGAAGGATTTTACGTTTTCCATTGTGTATGATACATTTATAAAATGGTTATATGGATTTTCAATCTTTGGATAAAAAATATGATAAACTTATGAATTATGAGTCATGAAATTGGCCTAAACACTTAGCAAAGGAAAGCGGAAGAAAATAACAAAGATAAAAAAAAGTGAAATAGTTTTTAGGTTGTTTCATAAACATGAAAATTAATGAAAAAAGAAACTACTATTTTATTGTATAAAAAATAAAGAAAAACAATGCATGTACAATTATATATTGAAAATCTAATTTAAAGATATGATAAAATTAATTATAATATATAAGTGAAATATAAAACTTATTTTAAAAATTGATTTTTTCCAAAAATTAGATCTATATATATATATATATATATATATATATATATATATATTAATATGATATGAGAATTTATTTTCAATATTTTTTTAATACGATATGAAAATTTATTTTAAATATGTTTTTTAAGATTATTATATTACTAATTGTTATAATAAAGACATATAACCTATAAAGCTCTTAAAAGAAATTGAAATTCTGGAAGATCATTCCTATTTATAATAAAGGTATAATGTTAGAATTATTAATTAAATTAATTCTATTATGTGACTATAATGATGAGTCTAAATGTGATTTAACAAAATATAAGGATATTTAAATAAAATAAAGATAAAATAAAATAAATAAAAATTTACGATAATCATCTTGATGAATGTTGACTAATAAAAAGAAATTAAGGTTTTGTCTCTAACTATAAGGTTCTTCTCACAAGTAAACCATCGGAAAAATGTGACAAGAAAAAGAAAGACAAAGAAATAGATTGAGAAAATGAGGTTGGAGAACAAAGACATTGAAAAATGTATTCTCATTAGATATCTCTCATGGATCAATGTTAGTGTTCTTAGTATGATTTATGTTATTATGTGAAAATCATGAATTTAAAGATTTTGTAGAGTAGTTTTCTATAATGAATGAAGAACTTAAGAAAACTACATAATGGTGTACATATGGTATCAGAGCTTGTTATTAGATTCATGATTTTTCTCTTATGATAGTTTTTTCTAAATTATGTTTTTGCAAATCTAGATAAACCCTAATTATGAATTTATATATATTTCTATCAAATTAGCATGAACCCTAATTTATCGCCAAATTTATTACAAACCCTACTTATAAGTTTGAAGGATTTTACGTTTTCCATTGTGTATGATACATTTATAAAATGGTTATATGGTTTTTCAATCTTTGGATAAAAAAATATGATAAACTTATGAATTATGAGTCATGAAATTGGCCATGAACATATAGCAAAGGAAAGC